TAATTCCAAATCTCTGTTTCCCTTGCAGGAACTGGTGTATGCATACAATGAACAGACAACTTTCTATATTAAGCACTTGGATTCAGAGGTCTGTACTTTGATTACCGTTATGGCGTCTATAGTCATCTTAAAGACTCTAGCAAGCAAACAAAAATACTTTAGCAAATGAGACTCTGATGTCATTGCTATGTCAATTTCCTCTAGAAAAAAACTACAGAAACATTTAAGATGGTCAGTGTCCCTCACACAGTACATCCTGGTTCCCTCCTGTGTTCCTGGTCAAGCTTCCCTGCGAACTGCAGCACTCTCTCAGTTCACACAGTTTTCTTATTTCATTTGTGAATAAAAGGATCTGACAAGTCAAATATCATACGAACATGAAGAGAGCCATCTGAAATTGGAGAATTTTATTTTGCCTGGGGGAAGGCTTTTTAAGTTTTTTTTCTTCAAGACAGAGGAAAAGGTTTTTTCTTAGCACTGCATCTGGAAACCGGTATTTGAATCGTTCATGTTCTTTGGATACCACCATTCAGCTTGAAACTGGAAGCACACAAGTACTGAAATGCTAAACAGGAATAAGGCACTCGACAGACTTGTGTGACAGACTCCTACTAGTCCCTACAAAGTGACCACTACTAACAAGCACACAGAAATGCTCAACTGCCAGCAATCATAGGAACCGTTCTTGCATTTGCCTGCAGGTCACTCTGAAGTGATGGTGTTCACTTAAGAGAATAGAAAGAACAATCCTGAACAGGTAAGACAAAGGTTCACACTAAATGCTCACTTCATTTTCCCCTTACCAATGACACTCTTTTTCATTATCACACCCTGAGCTGTTGCAACCAATCCCTGGCTGTCTTGAATGCACCTACAGAGCCCACACAGGGAACAGACTTAAACAGTAGAAAATGATTGCACACATTCAGGAGGCAGATCTTAGAAGATCCAGTGTAGAAGATCCCAAAGAAGCACGGGATGGGAGTGAAAAGCCTAAGCATTCCTCATGGAATTCCTGCAATTTGGGCTCAGAACAACAACCCCCAGATCATCAGATAAATCAGACCAATTATGTTGACATCAGAAACTGAAGCACAAAGGCCAAAGACCACATCCAAACCTCCGGAAGCATGAAGACATGATCTATAACTGAACTGCCTTCTGGCTGTGAATCTTTTATCTTGTTCTTTTAATACATCAATGACAGCAATCCGCATATACGTTGTGATCAATGCAGGCTCCACTGCTCTACTGATTTTAATATTCCACAGCTTCAATCTTTTCACTAAGAAGGAGCTCAAAGCTTAATATCTTCTCGCAGCAAACCATGGATGAAAGCAATACCAGGGTTTGGTGATATTTCATTTTATTGCATTTTTATTCCTTTCCCTTGTTAAGGGATCCTTTTTCTTCCTCTGCTTTCTAGAGAGAAAGGCTGGTATGGTTTTGTTTGGTTATTTTTTTTTTATCCCCACAGATAACAAGAAAAATGCAAAAGCACTTCTGTCTAACGCAAACCTCTTGGCAGGGCAAAAGGCCTGCAGCCCAGTCACCAAGGAGGACAGCAGCCTCACAAGAGAAGCAGTTTTAATTCCTAGAGACACTATTTTTAGGTGTGGCACCAGAAGTCCCTGTAGCAACAATATACTTTGACTTGTCATTTATGTCAGGGGAGCACACAGGGACAGAGCCGGCCTGCAGGTCTGCGTGTCCAGCTACCAACATCTGACACTCCAAGAGTTTGTCCTGCACACAGTAAGCAGACATCACTTCTCCTCTTTCCAAAGAACGGCTGACAACAATCAGCACAGTCAACAGCAGCCTCAACAGCCACCAACTGCTGAGATGTACCCCGTTTCTGTCAGCCACGTCAGTCTCAATCCGTAATGAAGTTCACTTGTATTTTCTTCAAATTATTGCAGGTTATAAATTTAAACAGAACCATCAGCCATCTGGGAGCAGACAATATTTGGTCACACTGCAAGCAGCTCTGTTGTTTGATGTGAGGAGGAGCAGAATCCATCTTTTGCAGTCATTCCCATGTCGCAGAGAAGACTGACACTACCGGAAGCACACACGGCTGAACGTATGTAACACAGGCAGAGCAGTAAGTTATTTTTAAATAGTTACTATGGAGGGGAAAATTGCCATTAGCGTTTTGAATACTAAATCAAATCCCCTGCAAGAATTTTATCATAGAAAAATGAAAAAAAAAAAACCAACTCCACAAACCCAAACCTCAGACTTTGATTTAGAGTTCACTTCTGCTCGTGATCATTAAACATTTCCTACACAGGCAGCCAATTACAAATCAAGTCCTCCATTTATGCCTACTTCCCCCACAGCTCAGAAGCAAGCCTCAAATTGTGGTAACTATTTGAAGAAGAGAAATGAAAGTTATTAATGTAGAAGCATTTGAGAAGTAAGGTAGAAGAAAGGGTGCTTTAGAAGCAGTGATTTGAATTCTGAACAAAGTGGGGAACACCATACAAGAGTCTCACTTTCAGTACAAGCAAGATACAACAAAAGCAGCGACAACTTCTGAATCCCACAGAAATTATTTCTTCTCCAACCACTTACGAGTTTATAATGCACCCAACTTCGAATTGTGAGAGGAAATCATGTTCTTTTGTTTTGTTCTCTTTAACCTGGCACTATAATACAGTTGCTGGTTTTCAAGGTAAAAGTACATATATTACTCAGACTGTGTCACGTCCGTACAATTGCTGACATTGCTAGGCTACATGCAGGTGACAACTGTCAATCCTTCACTCACACCACTCAGCAAAGCCGGATCCACTTCACAACACGTAACTCTACAACAATAAGGAGAAACAAAGTGCAAAACACACAACAAGTGAGAACACAAATTTCTAATCCAAGGTCTGCTCTCACAACATACAAAAAACCACCCTGCAATATTCTGACAAGTGTCACAGCCTAAGAACAAATGCACAAACTAGGGGGAAAAAAAAGCCTGAGCTGCACAAGGAACTTCTCCTACAGATCTAGTTTTTAAATAAAGTAAAAGACATCAGTGGGCAACAGAGATCACTGCTTTGTAGTTACCGACGTGCTGCAGCCTGAGCCAGCATGTAACTGTGTCTCTCTACCACAGGATCACTGAACAGTTTAAGCTGGAAAAGGCCACTAAGATGGACTAGTCTGACCATTGCAGCAAAGATATTACTACCAGCTCCAAAGACAGCCGTGACACTCAGCAGCCTGGAGAACAATGCAAACGTACATTCAAAACGCACTACCAAAAAACTTTTAGAACGACTTCAATCTTCAATAATTCTTCGCGGCAAGACAAATCACACCCTTGAGAAAGCCTTCTGGACGAACCCGGCTGAAGGCTCAGTACTCGCACGCATTACAGTATCACCCATCGACAGCAACGAGAACTACGCCCATCCAAGCACAACACGCTCGAAGGCTCAAATTTACGCTGCCGACACTGAAAAACCGAAGCGGCAAAACGCCGCCCTACGCGGCCCTTTCTTCCTCTATCCGCGCCACGGATAGAGGAGACGGCCACGCCGCTCCGCGTTACGGAACGCGGCTATCCCGCCGCTGCCCACGCGAACGCGTCCGCCGGAGAGAGCAGGAACGGCTCCGGCTCGCAAACGCGGAGAGGCGCCGAGGAGCCGGGTACGCCCCTCAGCGCTGCCCCGGGGCCGGCCGACCCCCGCCCGAAGGCCGCCCCTCCCTCCGCCACGGCGCACGGCACGGTGGCCGCCGCCTCTCCCCGCCGCGGGGCCGCGCTCACCGTTGAGGGCCGAGGCCTGCAGCGTGGCCCCCGAGGTGCCGTCGATGACTTTGATGGCGCCGCGCGCGGTCACGGCCAGGATGGCGTTGAGCGCCGGGTGGTAGCACAGGCTGCACAGCCCGTCGGCGTCGCAGCGCAGGCAGCCGTCCCGCAGCAGCAGCCACTCGCAGGAGCCCGGCCCGGCCGACGCCGGCCCCGGTCCGGGCCCAGCGGGCGCCGCCGCCGCCGCGGAGCAGGAGGCCGCCGCCGCCGCCGCCATGTTGCCGGCCGCCGCCGCCCTCAGGACAAGAGGCCCGGGGCCGCTCAGTGACAGGCCCGGCCGCCGCCGCCAGTCACCATCCGGGTCCGGGGAGAGGGGGAAAGGGAGAGCGCCAGCGTGAGACGGAAGTGACGCAATCGCGCCGGACGCGGAACCGAGCGCGGGCCCGAGAGCGGGAGGAGGGAACGAGCGGCCGCCCGTCACACAGAATGGCGGGCGGCAGGGAAGCGAGGGGCGGAGCTGGGCCGCGCGCGCGGCTTCCCAAGGGCGCGAGCCTCCCGCGCGCTGCCCCGCTCGCTCGCGCGCAGGGCTGCGCCCCCGGCGGCAGGGCGGCGGCCGCGCCTGGAGCCGCCCTTCGTTCCGTGCCCTCGCTGCCGCGCAGTTAAGCGCTCCGGGTAAAAGCTAGGCCCATGCGGCGCGCGCTCTTCTTGCGCCGGGAGAACGGTGCGGGAACTCCCGGGAGAGTCCGCCCGGCGACGGCAGCAGGAGGACGCCGGCGTTAACGGGCTTCAGAAATGACAGGTTTTGTGCTGCCGTAGGCCGCGGCTGCTCTGAGCAACCGCGGGATTCGGCGGGAGCGTCTTTATCAAAGGATTCAGATTAGCAGAAGATAATAGCGGGAAAGTGTCTGTGTCTCCGAGGCGGACCAAGGGCTTCATGTAATTTCCAAGTAGGTGTGCAGCCGCGAACTGCCCGGTATCCGTACGGCAAAGAGCACGTGGCGATCGTGCATCTCCATCTTGATGTAAGGTGCTCCATCTTGGTGGCCCACGTTGCTGGTAGATACCGGGCGTCCATACGTGACAAATAAAAGCTGTGTGTCTTTATCATGCCCAGCATTTATTTATTGTCACAAAGCTTGGGATGGATGACAGGGATAGGAATAGAGATGTGCCTTAATAAATATACATGAAATAAACAAGCTTAATTAAAAACTCTTATAAAATACATCTTGCACTTACACATACCTTATCTAAAAATAAGTTTATTGAATGCAAAGTTATTACAAACTATGAGAACCGTTTGAGCTGTCTGTACATATTTTTGCACAGCATATGCAAAAGGTGACTCTAAAGATGCGGAGTAACAGGTGCAAATCTGCAATTGCGTACAAAATATGTACTGTTGTGCATATTGACATTGCATATTACATGTGCCCAATCTGTCAAAAGGAACATTTCAGTTGCAGCTATCAGTTTCACAGAACGCTAATACAGAGGAAATGAAGATATTTCAAGACAAAATAGAACGTTATTGCATCCTCAATGTTTATAGTCATTTCAGATGCACAGGTCTGTTATGAACACCAACAGAACAGCTATGCAAAGAGAAGGTGAGCCTAAACCCTCTGACAGCACAGTAAACTACGTGCATCCTTACCTCTCATGTTTGCGGTGGCATTAAATGTGAACTCTCAGTGTTTGTCTGGAGTCTTACAGCCTGATACTCCTGATTAAGAAACACAGCCATGAAAGAGGTAAGACCAGATTACTTTTCAAAATAAAGCTAGTGTGCATCACTAACTTTTTTTTTTTAAGTGGGGATTGAGTATTCTTAAAATATTCCAGATAAGAACTAAGCTGCCAGCATATACATACGACTACAGCAATTCCACCAAAACTTCCGCAGAAGTCAAAAATTAGGTGAAAAGTCAGTCACTCCACCAGGTTTTGTCCTTTAATGTATTACAAGACAGAATATTATGTTACAGTTTTATGTCCAATATCAACTTTCAGTAGTTTTGTTTCCAACCAACACAAGCATCAGCCAGAGAAGCAGTCCAAGTAAGCTAAAGGGCCACAGTAGAACTGGAATTTACATTTGTATTTTGCATCAACAACGAGCGGTAAAAATAAGTTGCTAAACTGGCAAGTTGTGCCATTGAAAAAGCTGAGAAACTTCTCACAAGGAAATACATCCATTACGGATCAAAGATAGCCCTTGCTATTCCCTTCCATGGGTGACTTTTATTTCCCGCGTTGGGATGGAGGAAAAAAAAAAAAAAAGGCTAGGGAAATGCTTCCCCCAGCCAAAGATTAAAATAATAAAAGATACTTGAGATCTATTTGGTAATGCTAAATACTGAAGGTTGCAAACAACAAAGTACCATGCAAAGTGAATTTCAGTGGAGTTTTCTTGAGAAGAAACGTTACCGTTAGGACTATTACATAAGCAATCAACACAGTACACAGGAAATATTTAATGTCATCACCTTCTTACATAATCCTTGGATAGTCAAAATTAGCAAGACTGTTACTGAGGCTGTAGTTCTAGCTCTTCTAGTGGGGGTGTGGGGGAGAGAATCTGACCTTACAAATATTGTTACTTTTTGTAAGGAATCAACCTTGGGAAAAAAGGAAAATGCAGGTTAAATGTCATTACTATTAAAAAAAAAAAAAAATAGAGCAAGATGTTATAAAATATACTTGGGGAAGCATTCTTTTTATTTTGTCATCATAAAACACTGTTTCAAGAGCACGCAAATTGGATTTTTTTTCCCCCTCTGACACTAAACCAGCCCTACAGTTGAGGCAGGTGTTCACCTATTTCTTTCTAAATTTAAAACTGGAGTAAATTAACTTGAGTCTCTAAAGAAGCAATTTAATGTTTTCTGTTACACAGTAAGTGTCTTGCTCCTTTGGTCAGAGATGGTAAATGAAGACCTTAAATACTTGTATTTTCAAATTTTGAAAACCCAATACACATCCTTAACCAAGGAGTACGTATGCTACACGCAAGTCATAGATACAAAATACACAATATATACATATTTTGGAAACAAATTGGAATTTATAAAAACTCAAGAGCCAAATGAAAGTAATTGAGGCACTAAATTATAAGTAGTATCTTCATGTCTTCATTATACAGGCTATTCTGTGAACAATAAGGACTGTTTAATAAATATATATATTATCTACAGAATTTGCTGTGCCAAAAAAAGCCAGCTGTTTAAGCTCAAAAGAAAAAAATTGCACTTTGAGATTGTTACAATTAACTTATTTTTCTCCTCTAATATAGTAATCTGGTCCTAGTGCTTTTGGCACAGGTATAGAGTTGTGGTTTTGCTACACTTTTTTTTATAAAACACAAGGTCTTTTATTTTGTTCATTAAAATCTGAAGAGTCTTAAACAAACCTAGAACTTTGATACAAATCTATATAGCTACAATTACTTCATTAAATAATATACACAAATATGCTCTTCAATCTTAAAACATCTTGACAACTGGATACAAAACAGTCACTTGTATTATTTCCAGCCTCCTTAATCTTACACATTATCAGTCTGCAAGTGAAGAAAACATGGATTTTGGCCACATCTTTCACTAGATCACACCCCAGTGTATAAGGACAGGAAATAAATGTATAATAAAAAGATGGGATAAATTAGAAGGGGCTTCTTGGTCTTGAATTCTTCTCCGACTAGTAAAGATGCAGCGCTGTATGCAGCCCAAAAGACTCCAAACAGCTGAAATAGAAAACAAACAGTCTTCATATAGCTGATGCCATAAGAAAATTGCTCAAAATTAAACAAACAAACAAAAAAAAATAGTTACTTTCAACATAATTAGAGATGTACAACTTAGTGTGGAAGAAAGAAAATAATAAAGCAAACCTCACAAGCAATACTTCTGACCCTGACTTCTGACTTCATGAAATAACACGCTATAGATAATCATTTCAGTCTAGAAAAGTATTTAATACAGGTGTGTTATGTTAGACTAAGATAACATTTCTACTGAGACAAGCAGCTAACTCACAGTAAGTTTCCTCTAACATAAGACACATGGATAATACAAGATGTAAGTTTCTTCAACTCAGAAAACACTGAATTTTTCTCTGAAGAAAAAAGTTGCTATGCTTGACTTCTACCTATGAGATATACCAGAGTGTTAAATTGCCCTTTTTTACTTCAGGATTTGTCTGACTCATAAGCTTTAATTATGGGCCCCCATCTTAAAGTAACTGAAACATTCTGTTCCTAGTCCTTTCAGGTGCAATGAGAAACTTCCCAAAATAGAATCTGTGTCAAACACTTGATTGCTTCCTCAGTTAATAACTAACCATTTCAAAAGACTGGTAGAAAGTATCACTATGTGTAAATATTCACTATGTTACATGCAGTTAGTCTACCTACTTCTTAAAACTTCATTTTTCGAAGTCTTCAGGTCAGCAAATTCGACTCAAGTCTCAAGTTAATAAGGTTACAGCAAAAAATAATGGGACATCTTTTATTCTCAAGCAACAACTTGAATACTAATGACAAAGGAAAAGCACTCATTTCCTGCAAGCAGCATGGCCAAAGGTCTGTTCAGTGAAGGGCAGACACAACAGAATCCCAGTAAAGAAATTTTCCCACAGTGCTGTCAGGAAGCTCAAGATGCTTGATGGATGGTGGGACTGGTTCAACTGCCATTGCTAAGAACAAACCAACCCCAGCTGCATATTAGTGGTTAAGGTGCCTGAACTGGGACTGTGGAGATGAACAAGAAGGAAAGTAATAGTAATAATAATTATATATATATAATTACTAGATATATATTTATGAAATTATCTCAGGATTGTGACTAAATTCTCTGATACATTAAGAAAACTGCAGCAAAAATCCCCAAACCAATCAAGGTGCTTAAGTAGTTTGCTGACTGTACCTGGAAGACAACTGAGTAATGCTGTTTCCCTGTTTAAGTTCCCCAGCTTTAAGACTGAGGAACGTGTGTCCCCAGAGCTCCTAAGCCACAGTAAGTAGTACTTGTCAGTGTAGGTAGTTTTGGCCCCTGTGGAGCTTGTCCTGCATTTTCACACCTGACCATCCAAAGGTAGGAAACTTGTAGAGGTCTGCCCTGAAGTTAATGTAAGGTTATTAGCAATCAGGTAACAGACGTTTCATTAACTACTTGTATTTATTTTTAAGTTACATATTAGTTAAATGCCAAGTTAATAATTTGCTTTCTGAATGTATCCCCTAATAGCAATTGCAAGTTATCAAATCACAAGCAGAACTGCTATTCCGGTTTATCATACACTTAGTTGTATTTCAATTATGTTGTAAACCAACAAGTCAATAGGACAGAAATTAATCAAATCATCAGAGCAAGATCTCAAAAAGTTTTCTCAGTCAGCGCCAGAAGTTTAGCAATGACTTCAAAAGCTAACTATAAGAGTTGTATTAAGTGTTCAAGAACATCATGCACTTCTAGGATCTATCAGGGAATGATGCTAATTTCATCAAAGGTGTCCAACAGCAGGTAGTATCAAGGACATTATTTCTGCTTTGTGCCTCACATTCTACTTCTGTACAGCAGTAACTAAAACTTGATGATGGGGGAAGGGATAGAACAGCTTATTTTCAGATACTTCAGATTTTTAATTATGCATCCTTCTTTAAAAATGACAGTCCTATTTGATTTTCAGTGCAACTAATATAACATGTCAAAATACTTAAACAGAAGCTAAGCTTATAAAAACAGGTGGTTTCATACTTCCGGAGACTGTATGTTCCCAAATACTCAAAAGAAACATTTAAAACAGAATTTGCTTAGCAGCCATAACCAAAAGAACCACAGAGTTCAGGTTATATTTCTAAGTATTTTAACAGGTGTTGTCCTGTATGGACTTCAAGTGTTCATACTTCAAGTGTCAGCAAAGTGATACAGAACAACAGTAAACAATTCTCGGTACATGTTACTGAACTTACTTTTATTAAGGTAGAAACCACTTCAAATGATCCAACCACCAAAAGTACAGGAGCTATGACAATGAGGGGAAGCAAGGAATATCCTATCACACCAAGAACTTGGCCATAAGCAACCTGGAATTTTCAAGCACATAAAAACAAGCTTTAGTACAAAATTACTTCTATCACACAATCCTTTTCCAGTTTTTTAACAGTATGAGTAACCATAAAAATGTGTTGACAATTCATGAATTTTTAGCCAAAGGAAGATTGCTAGCATGCAAACTGTTTTTTCTATTCAATCCTCTAGAATTTTGTAGTTAATCTTCCTACGAAACATAACTTGCTTTAAAAACCAAAATTAAAATAACTTCAGATGATAATTTTAACACTTATAAGGGAAGCATTTAGATCAAGATCTAGAACCTGATATACTGTGACTAGCTTGAACAGATTTGTTCAAAGTACTTCCACAACTGCTATTAGCTTCCTGGTATTAAAACATTTGATTTTTCCCTATTGCAGCTGGAAATGTCCCTTGGCTCACTTAGACTTGCTGGATTTAACTTAGGAAAAATAGCAGCAAGACAAGCAACTGTCTTTAAGCAACCTCATGTGGCAGTTAAGTCCTCCACAATCAACTCCGAAGAGCTACAGTGATCCCCCTCCCCTTTCTCACCAGTTAATACATTCTGATAATTTTACATTTTAAGCCACAAAACCTGCAGACTTAAAGGCATCTGGATTACACTGGTATGCTGAAATACCACGCAATCACATTCCTAAAAGCTTTTTCTTTCCAAGTACTTTTCAGACAAGAACCCTCTAGCAATTATGATTAAAAGGAAAACCTAAAAAGGAAAAAAATAACAAAGACCACCACCAAACCATTAACAGAAAATGCACAGTAAAAATATAGAACTTACTTATCAGTGATACTAACAAGACGATTAATGCATTTTAAACTGCAATACCATTTTCACAAGCTTCTGTCCTCGCGACTGTTCCACAGTAGCTGCTTGTGGGCTTTGCTGTAAGCCATGACACTGTTTACACCTGAATCACTCAGTGACTCAGTTTTTAAACACAGCTTTAACAGCTATGCCAACCCTGCTGATGCAAGCAACTGGAGGGAGGGATGTAGGCCAGAACTTCAATTGGCTTTGCAGCTGAAGTACATGCGCTGACTTTCATCCCTTAATGGGTTTGAACTCCATCAGGCCAAGGATGAAAGCAAAAACAGTAGGTGCTCTGTACGAAAGGCTGCTACGCAACTGCTGCCAGCCCACTTTCAAAAAAGTGAGATAAATGGCCCCATTTAGCTCAGTGCCTGAAAAAACGGAAAGCATTTAAAAAAAAAACAAACCTGACCTCAAGAAAGGATTTCAGCTCTGGATCAGAGGCACACACAACAAGCTCTGAGATTTGTGGTAAGAATTTGCAGATAGTTTAACACATCCAGCACTCCATGCACCGCATAGCAAGAGCAGCTGCCCACTTCTAGACTTTAGATTCTACTTTGGTGACCGAGAACCTGAAATCTATGCACTGAAGTTTTCAATTTCACTCATTCTTAGGTGGCTACAATGTCAAAAGTCAAGCACTAAGAAAAGCCAGCTATTAGTGAAAAACACAGCCAAGAGATTTTGAAATTCCCTCCCTCTACCAACTTTCCATATATTAGAGGTACTTACTTCTCCTCCAAGAACCCTGGCCAGTAAAAAAATTGTCAAGGATCCAAATATCCAGATAGTTATAATCCAAGAAACAACCTTAAAATGGAAAGAACAATTAATTGACATTACTCTTCTTCACTGTAAGGAAAGACAAATCATAAATCACCTCACTGCACTCAAGAGCTTTATTACACAAAATTAAGTTCTGAATTGCAGCAAGTTTAGTTTTATTCAGTACCACAACGGAGCTTGAAAATAAAATTCAGATGTTACATTTACAAAATCACAGTAATGTAAGTTCAGTGAAGAAGGGATGCTTAAACAGTGTTTTGTAAGTACTACGCTGTGCCATCAGAGTAGGAAGAGGTTAGCTAAAAAGTAAAGCTAAGATCACTCTATTGAAATATCTTCACTTATTCAAAAATTTGGCTCAGGTTTTTTGTTTGCTTGGTTTGGTTTTGATTTTTTTTTTCCTCCTTAAGTCAACCCAACCAGTACAGAGAGTTGAGATTCTCCTTCCATTGTCTGTAAAGACACAACTTAATTCTTTCCTCAGACCAGGAATACTCAGAAGGCACAAGACTTTAATTCTTGATAAAACATTATGATTACAATTTAAGAAACAGATTCAGAATCCTGGAGAAAAAAAAAAAAGTAATTATTTTCCTCCTTCTTTCATTGTTTCAGAAGTCTTAAAATCACACTCCAGCTCAACAGAACCTTCAAAGTAAGTTAGGTGTTCCTGGGGTTCAGTAGATACACAAACAACAGCAGCAAACAGATCCACTGTGGGATTGAGGGATGGTCCCTGCTTTGTCTAGAAAACAGCTAAGTGGTGCACCCAGAAGATTTGAATCCTATGGTGTTTTGGTCTACTCACTTCAAGTCTCACAGAAACATACAGGAGGAAATCTTTATCGCTGTTTGGTATATCACATGGAGGCCAGAGGCCACAGAGAGCCTCCCTTACCTTTCACAAAAATCCTAGCACATACTCTGCTACTTTACATACATGCCTTATTGCTATTCTATGCTGTAATTAAAATATCTGTAACTACACACATAGTCAAAGATCTCCCACAGGGGGATGCAATTAACTACTAGAAAAACATCACCTAGGCTCACACTCAAAATGTGGCTGTAAATTATAGTTTTTTCTATTTCAATTTGAATGTGCGCTTAACTGTGTTTAGAGAAGCCAAGTAAATCTGCACAGTATCTTCAAATAACTATTCAGTTTTGAGTTCAAAAAGAATTATAGGCAAATTCTATTAACCAGAGGAAAGTTATTGTAACTGAGCATAGAGGACAAAAGAGTAATGTGCACTAATGAAGACTAAACATACCAGAAAAGCGTTGTAATACATCACAGATTAAACAAAGAGCTTAACCTGCTGGGAAGTTAGAATTCATGACATCTACACAAAAGTTCTTTGGTATTCCTTTTAGTAATAGAATGCAAGTTATCAAAAGGTTACAACTAAAACGGAAAGATTCACTAATGACTGTAAATGTATTAGCTTGATCTATTTCCTCTAGAAACCACATCTTTCTTTCATTATATAAAAAAGCCTGACATTTTAATAACGATTTACCTTTCTGTAGGTTATTTAATAAATTTCTTAGTGCTATCTTTCTACATTGTAAGTCAAAAAACCATATTTAGAATGCCCTACATTAATATGTGAAGAAGAGACTTTCTGCTTACATAAGAATGCAAATTGCTTAGCAATAATGTCCCCAAATTTAGTCCCGATTTCTTTTTAAGCAGAAGGTTTGTACATACCTTAAATTGTCCATATAATGAAATCATTGAGAAGAAGAGGACAACTGCCAGAGGACCCCAGAAGTCTGGATTGTCTCTCACTACCTGCCTATTAAACCCAAGAGACGGCATAGGCATCAACACACATCGGATTTTGTAGTAAATATCCTTCAGATCAATGTCGAGTTCTTCCCTGAAATTGGAAAGCAAGGGAGCATTACAATACAGCACAGAAATGAAACAGATCATAACAATTAAGTTCCTGGACTAAGAGAAGGTTTACAGAGCAGGTCTCCTATCACCATAAGGCTTTCTGTAGCCATGACTGGCAATGGAACAATTTGTCCAGAGAAAAGCAACGCCATATCTTCATCACACATTCAATAACCAGTATGACACGGACATATTTTATTCTACAAAAATCAATTACATGCCTGAGAATAGAAAACATCCACAGCACATCTTAATAGCCTACGTTAAGACAGGAGATCTATTTTCTGGCATACAGGAACGTGTGACATTTATAAAACTGGAAACAGAAGTCAAAGATGTGTACTCAGCAGTAGGACGTCTGCGTGTTCTTATGCTGAAGTTTGCCACGAGCACATTTGTTATGGAATAATTTTGTTTCAAATCCTAAAGAAATATTTTAGTTACATTCACTAATCCCATACCATTCAAAATATATCTCATCAGATCAACAGAAAATAAAGCAGCAGCAAGAAATAAATACAAAGACAATTCATCACAATTTCTCCTTCAAAAAGGAAGTACTGTTCATTGATTCTCTTAAGCCCATTTCAGGATTGCTGTTACTGAGGCTGTGTCACAATTTTTGTTTCTAACTTGTGCCTAAATAACAAAAACTGTTCATCGACACAACCCTGAATAAAGGAGTGGACCAAAAGCATCCATTTTTCTCCATTTTAAAGCAGTGTTATATTTCTCCTTTGTTTATTTAATATGTGTATATTCCACTCTTGACAGTTGCATAACAGAAATATTTCCTTTGTGGATTTCTCTGTCACTTCTTAAGGCTTCTGATAGTGTTTCAAGTAAAAAAGCTCTTTCCCACAGCGCTGACAGTTACCTCACTGAAGAGATGATAGCTGTAACAGGAGACAAGTGCCAAAAGCACAGCTGTCCAATGAGGGGAAAGAAACAATCCAATTGTTGGACAAAATGCTCGTGTGACAGCGCTGCATCAGAGAACTTATCTTTGCTGTCTGCTATTCTTTAAATCCACAGAAGCATTCAGATTAGAACGTTTCATAACAACACACGTTCTGGGAATTATCAGAACTGCATAAAAGCTGCAACGTGAAATCAGACTGAGTTTCTCTGTTAGGAGGCTGGTATTTGTCCTCTTTGCTACAAAATTATTCCTGGCTTGTTCTCCTCACTTCCAAGAATAGGCTTCTTAGAACACAGAGCTGTCTTTGAATCACAAGCTTGATTTTTCTGTGTGTGGTATACAACTTTGCACAAAAGAGGGAATTCATCTGTTGTCACCTCAGTATGCCATTCTATTTCTTAATTAAAATTAAAGGTTTACAGAACAGACTCAGACACACAGATGCTACTTCTGCGCATTTCAAGTACTTTTCAAATAACAATTTCATTATTAAGCACTCCAGGCACCTGTCAGAGTACTTTCCTTCTCACTCCACTTTTAAAAGCATCATTATCTTTAAACAGGAAAACTTTGAGGCAACAAGAATGATGTTGCTTAGGTGGAGAACACAGACTGAGACCCAGGCAGCCCCCCTCAGAGTAATAACCTTCAGATACAGCTTTCTTCTGACAATCACGTTCCTGTGAACAGAACAAGCGATGCAGACATCAGCAGTTTCAAAGACATTTTTGTCTTTCAACAGTAATCTCCCTTAAGAGAACTTCATAAGGCAGCATCAGAGAATATAAAGTTTCTGCTACCTTACTTGCAACCGTGCTGCAGAACACAATCTAGTTTTTCAAACCATGACAAGATCAACAGATAAGAATACAAAAGCCATTACATTTCTATTCTTATAACGTAATGAAATTTTGATTTTATTTCCTCCTCTCTTCCTCTCCCACAGTGAATGACAAGTCTCTTTTATAGCTAAAGAAACAAACAAATAATAAAAATAAACAAAACCCACCATAACAAAAACCAGCATTTTCACTCCTGCACCAAAAGAGACCAATTGGATGAGCAATTTGTCAAACAGAATTTTAGCCACAGCAGAAGACTAGCAGGCAGTTTGAGGACTTACAAGCTCTTTGTTTTCCCTAGGCAGCTAACAAAGAGATATCCACAAACAATTAGTACATACAGGAGTGGCTTGTTATCTTCTGGGTCATCGTCTTCCACCTCCAGAAGCCAGCCATACCCCCTCTGCCTCAGGAATGTAGTTGCAGACGATTCTTTGATGAATTCTCCTCCAAGATTTAGCTTAACATCTGGAGCTGTTATGGACCCACTAGGATCTTGGAGAAAAAAGGAGAGGAAAAGATAAGTTTTTATTTTGCCAAAATACATTTGATTTCAAAATTACTGCAAAATAAATAAATATGTACAAAAGCTACATGTGCAGGTCATCACCACGGAATAGTCATACACCAACAGTTACACAATCTGAAAGGGTACTTCTGGTTTTATGCAGCAGTAACAAAGTTGTTTTAGGACTCCAATTAGCAAGTTCTAGCTTCTAGATAGCAGACCATGCTGCAATTCCTGCTTTATCACTGATCATTTGGAGGCATAAAGGAGTTAAATCATCATACCATAAACTGTGGATTATTTATCATTTTCTGCTGACCACATTATCTCTTTTAGAGCCCATTCCTGCACAATGGCATTGTTTCACCCAAGCTATTCTCTGCTTGCATCCAACTTCACACTGAGGAAAACATTTGTAGCTTTTCTCATTTGTAACTTTTCTCATTTGTAACCTGCTTTTAATACAGTGGAAAACATTAGGAGAAAGAATACTGCTAGAGCTCCCCAGGCTCTGTTCAATAATGAGATACAAGGAATGCTCTTTAACATGCTAACATCTTGCTCTACCACAGTACTAAACACAAACATAAGCAACTGTTGCACGTTTCAGCTGAGTCAAAGTCACCAATATTAATTTTATTCACTTTGTTGTCAGTTATGTACCAGGGAAAAAGACAAAATAGTAACTGAAAATACACTAAGCAGCCTGAAGTAATAAAAAAGCATTAGTGTATGATAAGAGTACACATTCCAAGAATTTGGGAATTTACTTTTTGCATAAAAACAGAACACAGCAACAAGTCAGTTCTTTGCATGAACCTTGTAACAAAAGTTTTGAGAGGCAAAAACTCCCCTCCCATCCAACATCATCTTGCTTCACCAAAGAAAACCTTGTTTTGCAGTTGTATTGTTGTGTGCATTTACACACAAGCGCACGTATGAATTACCCTGAACACTCAGCTACAGTGAGTGCTTCTGAAATGTTTCTGCAACACATACTGACACAAGTCAGGTCACATTTGTGGGTTACGTTTGACACCCCTATCCAAAAGCAACATGGTTTTGGAGAATTTAGATTCTTACAATGACAGGACATCCTACAGTGTTCAGTCAGCATTTACTGAATCATTTGCTCTACGCTCAGTATCACAATTAATTTAACAGGATTCGCTGTCCTAAATCAGCTTGCTAGGGCACTCCAGCATAAATTTAAGCTTCCCCATTACTGCTTTTCAATCATTTCATAATTGTGATAGCTAACCATCCACTGCTTTGATTCCGAGAACATCATCCCCACAGGATCCTCATAAAGTAACTTAAACAAGAAACTTCTCTTTGCTCCTGCACCCATACGCACATTAATATCACTCCCATCAGATGTAAGCAAAGCCGTCTTCAGAGGAGAAGGGAGGGGGAAAGATTGATTCTTAAAGCCTGAACTTCAAGGCAGAGAAAGGCTCACAAGACTTCTATTATCAGTTGGACCTTTCTGTCATTTTAAAGTTATTGGTTTGTCTATAACACAGCACTGCTTTGCAAGGAGGATCCTTGTCATACTTTGTGCACAACTGTGCCCGCCAAAACAAGACACTAACAGTCCGATCAGCCACGGATTTGATTTATCTGTTCTCAGTGACTGGTGACAACCCATCTTGAGGATAGAAATCTTCTACATGAGTCTTATTTACCAATGTTCCTTTTAGCAGAAGATGATTACAGAATACCTACAACCGGATTACAGATCATGAAACCAGTTAACGTGATCTTAAGTCTGTTTTGAAGATGATATCTCCGATGGGACAAAGCTGAAGAAACCAAGGAAAAAAATCTGCTGTTGTCTCTTCTTTAGTTTGCTTTGTAATGGCAGAACAGTTAATAGCAGGCTACCTGAGCACTGAAGAACCTGACAGGAATTCATGTTTCTGGTGTTCTCTAATGAGAGTCTGGATGTTTTCACCACCACTGTCACAGGCAGAACACTGCAAACTACACAGGGCTACATTCAAACAGGGATGAGATCACACCTTGCTTGCGTCCACAGAGAACGCAGAGCCAAACCCTGTTCAACACATCCTACAGGACAGGTGCTTACTATGGCTTAGGTCCAGCAGAGCACTAACATAGCTCTCAGCAAACACTTCCAGGGAGAATCCCGAGAGTCTTCTTCTGGAGGCACCTAGCTCCTTTCTCAGGCCATGGTGGAAATGGAGAAGGAAATGAAAATAAAACAACGTGGATTGTACCTGTCAATTAGCATTCCCTGTCAGAAGGGCTGACAAGTTCACCAAAGAACAGAGCTAAGCATTCTGTAGTGGCATTTCACTTCAATTCTTCATTTCCAGGTTCGAGAGCCAGGATGTACACCGTTCCCAACCCGATCCACAACTATTGGGTAACTACACAGATGGAGCAGAAAGCTGGTTATTTAAATGGCTACAGTCCCAAGGGTCGTTCTCCATCAAAATAACGTAGCACAATGTTGACTCTTCCATAGCGCCGAGACTTAAGCCCTCACGGCACGCAGTTACACGACAGGTACGCAGTCTGCACAGCAGGTAGGCCGCACCTCGCCCCCTCACCTACACACGGTCCCCGCTTAACCCCTCATCACCGTACGAAACATCCCCGAGCGTAGCTACGCCGGGTGCCAGCAGGCAGCGCGGCTTAACGGACAGCGAGCCGCCGGAGCCGGGGGTGGGAGGGCGCCGAGGACAGCGCCCGCCGCGGTTACGTCAGGGCACCGAGCAGCCCGCCGGCCCTGCCACGCACACACCGCCACGGCGCCGCCTCAGCGCCCCGCTCCCTGCCGGCGCGCTGGGGAGAAGGCCGGTGCCTCCGCCGCGGGGGCGAGAGCCGCCCGCAGCCCTCGGGACGGGCCGAGGCCCTCGCTCGGCGGGAGCGGCCCCGCGCTCACCTTCGGCGTCGGCCGAGGAGACGAAAGTGAAGTCCCCGTTGTTGGGCGCGAAGAGCGGCGGCGGCTGCGGCGGCTGCTGAGGGCCCGGGGGCTGCATTTCCCCGCCCTCCGCGGGGCCGCGGCCGGAGCGAGCAGCGAGGGGCGGGCGGCGAGGCCTGAACCTGCCTGGGGCCTCCGGGCGGCGGCCGCGGCGCTGAGCGGCGCCCAAGGGCCACGGCGCAGCCGCCTCACGGGGCGGCACCGAGCACCTCGCCCGCCCGCCGCTCGGCGGCGATTGGCCGCCGCAGGTCCCGCCCTCTCTCCGTCCCAACGAGTGGGCGGTGCGGCTCCGGCGCAGCGCGGCCGCCGATTGGTCAGGGCGCGGAGCTAACGCCCACCGGGCCGGGTCGGCGTTCGGCCTGCGGCGGTCGCCGCCTCCACGCCGTCAGGCGCGGCGCCGTTGCGTGCGTAAGTGCTGTGGGGCGGTGCGCGGCATCGAAGCAACGCCTCAGCGCCGTACACGCCCGGCGAACACGGGGCCTCGGGCGGAGAGTTGCTCCGGTTGGTCGCGTTAGCGGTCAAACAAAAGTTGAAGCTTATTAAGGAGGGCGTTATCCAGATGGACGGACGTGCAGCATGGACCGCCTCGCTGGGATGTCTGTGTCACTGTTTGATCGCTCTCAGGCTTGAGAAGTTTCTTATAATGCCGTGTCTGAACCTCCCCTACAAATATGGTTGTATTATACATTGAAAAAGTATAGGAAGAATAAATGCTCTAGCAGAGTAATTTGGAGAAGGAATTTTGTTTCCCACGTATATTCCATTATATTCCATTGCAGGAAATCACTGCAAATTCCTTTGCAAATAACTTGGAACAAGTAAAAGCCAAACTGATTTTTACAGAAAGAGTGTGATGGGGAAGTTCTTTTTTTCTTTTTCTTTTTCTTTTTCTTTTTCTTTTTCTTTTTCTTTTTTTTTTTTTTTTTTTCCTCATATCACAAGATAACCAGTTTGGATTTATAAAAGACCAAAAAAAGAAAAAAGAAAAAAAAAAAAATAGAAGATTTGAACTCAGAATCACAGAATAGCCAGGGTTGGAAGGGACCTCAAGGATCATGAATCTTCAATTCCCCTGACAACATGCAGGGCCACCAACCTCCCCATTTAATACTAGGCCAGGTGCCCAGGGCCCCATCCGACCTGGCCTGGAACACCTCCAGGGACGGGGCATCCACAGCCTCTCTGTGCAGCCTGTTCCAGCACCTCACCACTCTCATAGTAAAGAACTTCCCCTGACATCCAACATAAATCTTCCCTCCTTCAACTTAAAACCATTTCCCCTTGTCCTGCTGTTATCAGGTTCTCTTTCAACACGTTTCAGTGGTTGTTTCCTTGCAGCAGCAGAAAAAAAAGTCATCACAGTTGTGCAGGACTTTTTTTTTTTTAATTATTCAAAAACCTTCCTAATAATACAGAATAGCACAATGGATTTGTGTAATTTTACACAAAATGTAATTATTTAGTTTCGATGTTAAGCACTAAGCCATGACAACAGAGAACAAAAGGTCCAAGAATAGCTTGTGCTAAAGGCAACATTTTCATTTGCTTCATCGTTAATTTTTACTTGCTGGGTCTCAGAACCTTGGAGGAGCTTGGTAATGGTCTCCTAGCAAGAGCAGAAATGTTGCAGTGTAAGAGCAAGACTTGAGGGTGAATGGGACAAAACGAACATGCGTCTCGCTCATGAGCAGCTTCTCGGGGCCGCGGGCAGGTTTTCAAGCCACACAGAACCGCTGCTCCCTTTGCCCCGTCTTGCGAGGGCAGAGGAGCAACACTCCCGGCCGCCAGCAGGGGGCGCGCCCGCACTGCTGTTGCCGGGGGGGTTCAGCGCCTCCGGGGGGCGCTCGTGTCTACGGGTAGGAAGAGTATTCAGTAACGGGACCGGTGATCCTGGACTGAAGGCTTCTGAGAACTGTCATAATCGACGGTTTCAACTGGTTATGTACTGGAGCTTGTTTTATGTCAAGGAACGCTTTTATCTCCATCAATTTTTGGCAACAGAAAGATATTGTACAACATACTCTTGAAGCAATCGTGATGTTAGGTAGCCGTACCAGAAGGAAACTTGCAGAAGGAGAAACTTACTGATAATGTGGAGTAAAGCACTATGCCAATTTGCTGCTCCTTGAGGGTCTTTTTTTTAATTTATCAGCAAGCTGCTGTGGATGCATTATTTTCATTCTGAGCACTATTTTACCTCTTGAATTTGTAAAGAAGAAAGTTCAGAGAGACTTTGACTTCATTTTACAGTACGCGGTTTTCCCCAAGAAATCTCAGATGCCTTTGTCAGGCAGTAGGGAATTTCAACCATTTATTTTAAGTGTCTCTTTGAACAAAGAAAAGAAAAGCCTGGGTGACATTTGCTTAAAATAAGCTTTAAAAAAAAGGTGTAATATTTACAGTGATACTTCTGCAGGAGCCAATTCACATTAGTCTTTCAGACGTGAGGAGCAGCTGAGGTCCCTGGGTTTGCTCTGCCCAGAGCAGAGGAGCGGTGCGGAGCCTGATGGCGGCTGCAGCTCCTCACAGGAGCCGAGGGGCAGCGCTGAGCTCTGCTCTTTGGTGACCATCTCCACTAACTTAACGTGGTGTATGAATCTGGTGAGGATTTTTTTGCGACTGAACTTACTGATGGAATAAAGATCCTTGATAATGCTGAAGGGCTTGTACTTGAAAACATAAGTATGGATAAGGATGATACAACAGAAGAGGTAATTTCCCCTCTGCTATTTCACACCATAATCAAGCATATGATGTTAGGAATCTGAAGGTTTTAACAAGTTGATCTGAAGTTTGTACACCATTTGGACTTGGAAATATTATCATATAGTTTAGAGAAGTTATTTCTTACACATTTCCACTGAGGTCTTGCTATCTTGTTTGCTGGTTGTCATGAAGTATTGGAGTGCTCCTTTCAAGTTGGTAATGCATACTGTGGTCAAACAAACCTAGCATACCAATCCCAGTCCAGCTAATCTGCACAAAGCTTGTGTCAGGAGGTTGTAAAGACAATACCACTGCTTTTCATGGCCTATTGTTGACAGTCTGCATGGTCAGTCACTGGATGCCAAGTTTGAATAACATTTGCCAGGGCCACACAACACAGTATCTGAAGTGGAGATGGCAATTCATACATCTACTAATGTTCTCTTTGTGGTAACAGAATGCTTCTTCTTTATTTGTTCCACAAGAAATCATGTTTGATCTTCTATGAATTACCTTCTCCGGGCTGAGGGGCAGTTTATATTGATTACATGACATAGTAACAGAGTAAGAGGCAGTGTTTATAATTTTCTGCAAACAAAAGCTATCATATATATGATGGCATTCAAATATAGATAACTGTGGTAAGCCAGGCAGTAGGCATCTAATCCTGTCCAGCCATTTGCTGTAAGCAAAACATTATAAACATATCAGAAGTATACACCTAACAGTGTGACCTGTTGTGCTTTTTGTTTGTTTGTATGTTTTCATTTCATTTCATTCATAGCTGAAGGTATGAGCAATTTGAGAAAGATACATTTATTACACATAGCTCATCTGACATCTGTTGGTGATGGACAAATCCACATTACTAGATCAATTTCTAATGAACAGAGTGACTGACAGTTAAGACATGATATCAAACCTGGAACATCCATTAGACCTCATAACCAGTAGAATGTGGACAGGTGTTTGAAGTAACCAGGGTATCTTCAAAGCAGTTCAGTTTCAATGTAAAGATATTTACAAAAACACAGGTTTAGAAAGAAGCTAACAGAAGATTGTTAATAGCTGTTTCTGAAGCTGAAAAACAGGAAGCTTTGTAAGAACAAGATCTTGGAGAAATGGTAATAAAATTCAGGAATGAAGATGAGTGATCCTTTTTTGAAGATAATTGCAATTAAGGAACCTTAGGGAGAAGCTCAGAGCAAACCAGGATCTTGGATGAGATATTAAGAAATAGGAATCTCCAACAAAACATTCGGCTGCTGACATCTTGAAATAATAGGACTAAGCTGGAAACGTGAGCCATAGAGACTGTTGAGGAAGATTTGGTTACAGCTTAGAAACAGACCAGATGAAGGCTTTTGTCTGATATTATGCAAAAAACCATAGAGCTATGCTGAGCACTGAGGCAATCAGCTATAACTGGGATATATACTTGTAGAAAGGGAAAGGAGAAGAAAAGGAAAAAAAAACAAGTCAATGAAGTCACAAAAATGAACAAGTCACATTTTTCAGAGAGTTTGGGACAAGTTTAGTCTGACAGTGCTATCCAACTGAACTGCATCCTTCACTTGTTTTTTTACACCAATGCTATTCAGCCTTACCCTTCTAGCTTGAAAACTCTTCTGTTTTCAATGCGAAAAACAAAAACGAGGAGAAAATAAACGCAGATAATTTAATTATTGTAATGAAAGGACTCCCTCTTCTCCCCAGTGTGTGGTGTTGTCTTATATCCCAGAGTCACATTTCCAGAGAGGATGCTTTGCCTTCACCTTGTGCTGATATAAATAAGTGCATACAGTACAGAGCAATAGAAAACTGGGCACAAGAAATGTGGAAGATCCTGTTGTACAGAGAACTGGAGTGTGCTCCTTATCTTTTGAGATCGGGAAGAAATACCAAATGTAGTCCCTTTATTTTTGGTATGTTGTGGTCAGGTCTTTGTTAGTACTGTTGCCAGGGGGACAAAAAGCAAGCAGCCAAAGAGAAAAGGCTTAACCACTTTCAAAAATGAGTACCTGAGCCTTTGGAAGACAATTTCGAAGAGGAATCAAAAGTAGTTGTAACCTCTTGGTAGTCTCAGTCCAAGTGGAAGCAAGGCCAAAGAAGTTAAATAAGTTATTCCAAACACAGTGGAATCAGTGATTAGGCTTTCATATTGCTGTGATGCTTTCATTGCTAAAACAATACATTTTCTACACAGTATTTTAAAAGAAAAATATTAACCAGCAGCGCCCTCCTTGCCATTCTATAAAGCAAAGAAGCCTAAGACATATATAAAGCTGAGTTCTCACCGTCCCTCAGTTGTACTCCTCGGTTTTTGTTCACAATATGTTTGTTCATATACTATTTTGTACGTGCTTT